ATCGCAGAGCGGCAGGTGCATTTTTTGTGTTTGTTTTGTTTTTTTTAACCAACGGCACCCAATGACGTAACACCCCTGGCGCCTTGTTAATCAGCAAGTCGCACTTACATAACACGACTTGTTTGGCATTTCCACCATGGCTCAACATTCTCCCCCTCGTTGCGCGACTCCCTCATGTCTTGGACGGCAGTACGAGCCCTTTTCAAAAGGCCCGTCGATCACGTCACCAGCGTGTGGCGTTCGTTCCGGCACATACCTGCTCGCTTGCGATTGCACAATATTTGCTCCAAATCTTTCAACATCTTTTAAAACAGCGTCACGCCATCAAGTACGGAACTTTCGGTCATTTTTCATTCTGTCTCGCTTCAGCGGGTTCGGCGCAGTTCCTTGTCAGCAGCTCGGCCGCTTGCCCTTCTCAGTCATCTGTTTCCAGTGAAAGGCAAGAACCCGGCTGCTTTGGAAACGAACTGTTGTACAAAATGGAGCCGTTCGGTGACTTGAGTGTCGTTCGCCGCCACTGTATCTCATACTATCAGTGACGATGACTGTAAAGACGTCTCGGACGACTGGACTCTCACCGCCTTGTGACTTGTTGGTTTGTTTGTTTAACGGATGGGGCAACGCAATCGGCCGTACGAAGGAAGTGGACCGACTCAGCCGGGTGACATACCTGGCCGGGCTCGGAATGCGGGGACGCCATGTTCTCATTGTCAAGACACACATTCCACAAGCCAAGAATGCGGGGTGGTGACGTTATCGCGGCGAGAGGGAAGGCGGGAGAAAGACGGAAGGAAGACAGAAGACCCCCACCCCCATCCCGCACCCCCCACTTTCGGTTGACCTTTTCAGGAATACGCTCCTTCTTGAACAGCTGACTGACGGGCACCGGCTTGGGACTTTACCTCACACAAAAGAAGAAGAGAATGCGGATGCGGCGTGAAGGGCATTCGGTCTTATCGTCTCCTCATCTTGTCAGGGAGCTCAGGCGAATTCTCGTAGAGGGGCACTGCCATTTGGATGCGTCTCCCTTTCATTAAAAACGAAACAAACAAAAAGATTCAAACGGCGGTCATGGAGGCAAAAACGTGAACATTGAGAACATGACTATGAGATTAGCTCTGCCATGCAAATCAACTTCAATTGAGAATGGCATTTCATTGTTTGATGCAATGAAATCGGCATCGCCACTCGGAGTTGCCTTTGTGGTTGATGCTTTCGAGTTTGCAAGCGCGATCCCGTACGGACAGAGATCTTCTTCAAATCTCAATTGTTGCGGACGGACATTTTGTGATCCAAAAATGCCGAAAAACGCACAAATGTGTTTGCTCGAGTGCGCTTGGTCCACAAGTATCAGAGGGAATCGCTCATCCCTCCCCCCCCAACTCCCCCGGCCGTGGCATGCGCTCCAAGTGGAAAATCCACCCGAGCTGTCGCTCCCATTGGAGCAGCTCGGCGAATCTCCGCTGCACGCGGGAACAATGGGAAGCAGAGACTTCAGAGAAGCCAATGTTGGTGATGCCGCGGCGATAAGAAAGTCTGCGGGAGCCGCACTATTTACAGACGAACCGGCACAGGCGCTTTGTCCCCCCCGACCGCCCCGCGGATGTCAATCATTTCCCTTTTCTTTGTGGCACACAACTCTTTGTTTGGTTGGACCCTTACGGCTCTGCTGGGGCACTAAACATGCTGCGATGACATATTAACATATGGTGGGAATGACATCTACACAGTAGTGCAGTCCAGTCGAGAATTCTTCCAAAAAGTGGCCCTTTGATGTTTGCTGTCAAACCTAACATCAAACAAAAGCAATCACATGTTGCTTATTTCAAGCAACCAAACAAATGTGCCTTAGAAATGCCCCCGCTAGCTTCATGCGAGCACATAACGGGACGCGCCATTGACGGGTCAACGTATAGCATCGCTTTGGCTAACATATTTTGAAGTTAGGGATATTTGAACACCAATGGTGCCCCCGACAGTTCCATGTATGATGTACATTTTGCAGAGTCACCATCAACAAACATAGCTTGGCAACTTAGATGCGGAGCACCACTTTTGTGGCTAGCCAGCTACACTGGGACAAGCTAAAGAGCGGCAAGCTAAAGGTAAGCGCTCGTGACACATTGTGGGCACCGACCTGCCAGATGTGCATTGTCTGGTGGTGGACACCCAAAGCCTACTTGTGTCCTTTCTTGTCCACTTCCTGCACAGGGAGGGCAGCTGCTTCCTGGCGCCACGGCGATGAACAGACCGTCGCCCGCCCGGGGGGGTGCTGACGCCGCAACTAAGAGGAGACACAACAGATGAACTTGGAAAAAGAATTGGAGTCCCAAACAATGCAGGCAGACACTTGGACAGCGAATAAGGCTTTTGATTATTTCGAGTGGCTTGACTGAAGAAAGTCGACACCGCCCTGTTTTTATGATCATTGCGTGAATCTTTTCAAAACTTTTTCCACCCTTCATGTGGGCGACACCTTGAAATGACGTGACTAATCTTATTGAGAGGGGAAGTCCCCCCCAGCCCAAAAAAAAGAAAAAACAGAGATCATATGGTTGCAGAATGACAAATCTTATTGAGAGGTGAAGTCCCCCCAGCCCAAAAAAAAAAAAGAAAAAACAGAGATCATATGGTTGCAGAAGTGTGCACACCCTCTCACAAGCAGGGATCTCCGCGATCGGAATGAACCAAACACTTTCAACGTCATATTGAAGGACGCAACAGTGCTCTACAACGTGCCATGTGATTTATGTGTTTTCAAGAGCATGTAACACCGCTATCATCTTTTTAACAGCCTCATTTTTTTCCTCCCCTACTAGCGGGCAAGAATTGTGATGACCTCACGGATGCAGGAGGAAAGCCGGCAGAGAGCGCAAGAGGAAGCACATCAAAGACAGTGAGCTCTGGGAGAAAAGGGGGGAAAAAAAAAAGATGAAGCGAGATGGAAGATGAAGGGAGTAAGCGTGTAGCCAAAAGAGCATTGCTGATGAGCTCGACTGGGGCGCCGCGGGGGAGCTTGGCCTGCTTTCGCTCATAATCCACACGCACACACACACACACCCACACAAACACACACTTTCTGAATGTCTGCTGTTTGCTTTCATCCTCCATGACTATCAAATGACTATTCGTTGCAATTCTGAGCATGTGGATACTTTTGACTCCGTATTTCCACGAAACAAACAAACAAAAAAGTACATTTCTGAAACTTTGATATCTAAAGAACATGCGAGAGAGATTACATTTCATGAAAAGTATTGTCACGTGATCCACAAGGTCAAATGGGAGGTCAAAAGGTCCAGTGACTAAAATATGCACCAATCTTGGAAAGGATCGCCAATTTGGAATCCCTGTGGAATTCCCTTTGCAATAAGACCGTTTTAGAGGAAACTGACCAAGTAGTTCCTGAGATATGAGGGTACAAAAAATGGAAGACAGCCACAGGCCTTTTTGCCGAGTTCATTATAATTTGGTGGGTCGTAGCAAAAGCAAAAGCACACCGCCGTCAAGGCGCCTCGCGGAAGGCGCCAAAAAGAACAAACAGCCGCTGCAGCAAACTGGACACTGTGGACTGAGTTTTGCTTCGCACTTTTGGATTATATATATATATATATATATATATTTAGTTTGGCCAGGTTGGTTGGTAAGAACACTCTTCTTTGTGTTGTGCCAAATTCACAAAGCATTTTTATTTCCACTTCAAAGGGACGGACGGTCCTGCACGTGCGCATTTCAAGCTGGCATTGAATGAAATATTTATCTTGTCATCAGCTACTAAATTCATATTATTTTCGACACAACGCAAGGGAAACGTGTATATAAAAAAAAAAAGGAGGTTGCGAATGTTGCTCTGCCGGGTCCCCTCCTTTCATGCAGTATTGTACAACGAGAACAATGGCGAGATGGTCGCGATCCACTCGCGCGCTTCCCGTGCGGTGCCTCGTTGTCTGCGGCCACGACTGTCCAGCGAGTGCCGCCGTGGAGGGGCGGGACACACGGGATCAGGAAGGAAAGGCCGCGGCGCACGCACACGCTCACATTTTGCTATTTGCAGAAGCTCCCTGCACCTTTGGCCTGAGGCCAAATGTGTCCCGCTCCCTTTTTTTGCCTGTCTGATCACAGGGACGCCGCCTGAGTCATTAGCGGGAGGATGAACTTAGGCTGGACATCCCTGACGTCTTCCCGGATGCTGACTCGGCATCTCTGACATCCGGCCCGGCGCCAAATTTATAATAAGCAGAATCTTTCCGACACGATTGATGGTGTTATCCTGAATTGTGAGCAATTGTGGGCTGCATTCCAAGTATGACAAGTAGCCGTCACAAAAGTAGTCGTACAGTCGGACTTGATCATGAGTAGGACTACTTTTTCGCCAATAATCCCCAACTTCGAAGTTGGTGGCCCCAATACGTTCCCAAACAGCTGGGCCGTGCGTGTCAAGAAAAGACCAGGAAAGTTGAGGAATGCTCATCAAACACCTGCTCGGAACATCCCACAGGCCAACTTGGGTCGTCAGACAAAAATCAACCAGACAAAATTCTTTGAACAGCCAAAGGAGCAGCGTCCTGTTTGGGCACTGCAACAAAATTGCACATCATCACAAGGGGAGAAGAAATTAATCAATAAATACGTATAGGAAGCGGGCACAATGTTGCCACCAGATGACCCAAAATGCTCCACTGGGCATGTGTGTGTGCACGCTGAAGTCACACAAGCAGGCAAGCGAGCACTACTTCCATTTGTAAATAGTAGATGAGACATTTGGGATCATCGCCTTAAATCGATCAAATGTCCGTTTGGTTGGCCGAATAGCCTCAAACACCAAGGCCTTTTCAACGCGCTAAACCTGTTTCAATTTGTGTAGGAACTGGGCACAATGTTGTCACCAGACGACCCAAAATGCTCCACTGGGCATGTGTGTGTGCACGCTGAAGTCACACAAGCAGGCAAGCGAGCACTACTTCCATTTGTAAATAGTAGACGAGACATTTGGGATCATCGCCTTAAATAGATCAAATGTCCGTTTGGTTGGCTGAATAGCCTCAAACACCCAAGGCCTTTTCAACGCGCTAAACCTGTTTCAATTGATCTAAGTTGTTTCAGGCGCAAAGGTTTCAATGAGGCAACTGGACTCTTCACGTGTGGCGAAATTTCTTTTTCTTGTTTGACGAAAACGGCCAAATACGATTTAGGCAAAAATGCTAACAAGCTAACGATAATGAAGGTTTTTTTTTTTTGTTTGTTTTTTTTTCCCCCTGCCGTCACATGATGTGGCAGGCAGGTCAGTGACTCTCGTGCGTAGGCCGCCACGTTGTTTGCGGGGGGCTCGCTAGAAGTGCTTCTCAAACCGGCCAATAGGATGTGGAGGCGTGGTGGCCAAGCTGACATCAATGGATGGAAAACACCGATTGTGACCATCACGACGATGACGATAATGATGGTAAAGGACAGTTGAATGAACTTTGGGGATTGTTCCCTCCACTGGGGGAGGTTTTTTTTTTTGTTTGTTTGTTTTTTTATGCAATTTGTGAGTAAGTGAGCAGGATTGTTCACATTTTCATGATTGACGCATAGTTTTTTTCTCTTAAGAAAACCATTATTAATGAAAATCCTATTTTTGACATTAACAAGTCAAATCTAAACTAGTAAAAAAATGAATTTTGGTGGTCGTAATACATCTTGGGGTAATACATTTTTCATGAAAGAGCAAGAATTTTCCTTTCAAAAAATGTTTTTATTTTCAAATGCTAAATTTTGTCACCAATACACAAATTGGAACAGATTTCACTACGTAGTGGTCCTAAAATGTTCATAAAATGACACATTTTGCCTCAAAGACGCAACTTCTGTTTTAAATTTTGCCCTAAAAACGCCATTCTGGGCATTTGCCCTGTAGGGGAAGGGGCTCGGTGAACATATCATGCTGTTAGTAGGACGCATGTGAATTCCTTGTTGGACCTCAGAAAAGGTTTCAAGAGGACAATCTCAACAAGTCTGCACCCGAGTGGGGAAAAAAAGTCACGTGTTCTGTGTTTTTTTGATTTTTTTGTGGCACGTGTGTTTCGTTCAGTGTTCAGACTTGTTGAGCGACTTGTCAACAAAACGTTCAGTATGTGGGCCACAGCAAAAGCTGGTAACTCCAGGTTACTTCCCTTCATGCCCACGCAGCTAAGATGTTCTGGGATGACCTCGGGAAACGCTGCCGTCATATTTGACCAAATTTCTCTCATTTGGGTCAAACGTGAGCTTGGTTCAACCCTGGCTGACTTTGGGCCAGAGGCGGCTGCCAGTCAGTCGCAGCTAGCTTCATGCTCACATATAATGGAAAACATGATTGACAGGCTGACCAAGGGCGTCCATGAAGCAGCGTTGGAACACAGCGATACAGATATTCACTTGACTGTACGCAAAGCAGAAGGGGAACACGGTGACGTGGGAAAAGGGAGCAAAGTCTTCCTGCCCGCTCGCTTGAGAAGATCATAAATTCATTACCTGGCAGGCACCAGGCAATTTTTGTTTTTTGGCTCACAGCAGCAGCATTAATCTCATTCATGTTGACATCACGTCTGATAACAGAATGACATAACCTCCCAATCAGATATGGTTCAGTTGAGCTTATTGAATCAATTGACCAGCCCTAATATTAGGTACAGCTGGACAAATACATGGTCATTATGCCACCCAGTGGTGTAGAAGTGTACTGCGCATTGACAAATCTTTTTCAAGTGGGCTTACTTGTATCTAACATGACGAGGTTATGATTTTGAGAGTGCAGGAATTCTTGCGAAAATCATTTTGGGCTGCAAAAATTCATTTTTCTCCCTTATCATTGAAAGAAATGACTCTCGGCTTCATTTTTGTTGCACGATTTCATCAATGGGATTTTGCCACCACAGTTAGAAATAATAAACATGTCTATTTAAAATTTGTTTCCTGATAACAGTGTGTATTATCCCCCCCCCACCCTCCACAAAAAATACGATGGACATTCTAATACCGTGACAGAAAAGAATTCTCATATTTGGACTTTGTTTTCATCAAAAGTCTTTATTTTGTCTCCTATCATTTGCCTTCCTTCTTGTAAAATTGCGAGTTAATGAGTGAATCTAAATAAGCATAGAGACACAATACAATAAATAGCATGTATTGCATTGTCTGTTGTCTATGAAATTCCTAATTTTGAAAATTGGACCATCAGAAATAAATGTATTCTTGTAAAATGCAATGTTTCGTTTTCCCCAAATTTTAGCTTTGTGTCAAACTGGAATGAGCCTAATGCTTCATGGTAATTTGTTTTTTTTTTTTTGGGGGGGTTGGGGGGCAAACATTAGAAGCAAAACCTCACGAAGCAGCAACTCTCTGGGAATACGGAAAGGAGCTGAACAAAGACAAAGAAAAATGTGGTCGCCACACCTGATCTCCTTCCACAAGGCCTTTCAGTATTTGACGGTGACGGTCTTGACCTCAGTGAAGAAGTGGTAGGAATCCTTTCCACCTTCCCTGCCCACGCCCGAGCTCTTCGTGCCTCCGAACGGCAGCTTGAGATCGCGGACGAGCCAGCAGTTGGCCCACACCAAGCCCGCCTGAAGCCCAGCCGCCACACGGTGCACCTTGGCCACGTCGCGGGACCACACGGTGGCCGCCAGGCCGTAGCGCACACCGTTGGCCAGGGCCACCGCCTGGTCCTCGCCGTCAAAGGGGAGGACGCAGGTGACCGGCCCAAAGATCTCCTCCTGCATGACGCGGGAGTCCTGCGGGACGCCCGAGATGACGGTGGGGCCCATGAAGTAGCCGCCGACGTTGCTCTCCGGTAGCTCCAGCGTGTCCACGCCTTCGCCGCAGTGCACCGTGGCGCCCTCCGACTTGGCCAGGGCCACAAAGCCACGCACCTGAATGAGGAAGACGCGTAGGCGTACATTCTCTCAAAATTATTATTTGAGATATACAATGCCTTCATTCTCATAAAACTAATAATAATGATTCTATAACCTTATCTCGTATTGTTTTTTTTCTCGCATTGTTTTCTTTTTCCCAATTCAGTGTTCAGCATTCTTTTTAATATCCTCAGAGTGTATTTTGCACCTTTTCCAAGTGCTCCTTGCTGATAAGTGCGCCATTGCTGTTGCCAGGGTCCAAAGGCACGCCCGTCTTCCACTTCCTGGCGGCGGCCACAAACCTCTCCAAGAACGTCTCATAAACGCCACGTTCCACATATATCCGACTGGTGCACAAGCAGATCTCTCCCTAGAGATACAATTGATTGAATAAACAGGTCACTTGAATTCACACACACACAAGTAAAATGACAGCAGATCATTATTTTTGGGGTTTTTTTTGTGACCTTGCTCTAAATACAGTTAAGACTTGTGATGTGATTTCGCCAGTTCCAAAATATCTTTTTCTCACCTGGTTGGAGAAGCTGGAGCGGACGGTGGTCTCGATGCACCGCTCCAGATCGGCGTCAGCGAATATCACAGCGGGGTTCTTGCCGCCGAGCTCCAGCGACAGCTTCTTACAGTAAGGGGCGCTGCGCTCGGTGATAACCTGGGCTGTCGCCGTAGAGCCCGTGAAGGAGATCAGGGGGACATCGGGGTGGCCCACCAGGGCGTCTCCCGCCCGGGCGCCCGTGCCGAACACGATGTTGACCACGCCTGGGGGAATGCCTGGATGACCAAGCAGAATGTTCAAATTCACATCAAGTAACAACACCCTCACCCATCACGACGCGGCCCTACCAGCCTGCTGCATTAGCTTGCACATCATCCAGGCAGTCACTGAGGTCATCTCGCTAGGTTTGGCGACCACCGTGTTGCCCGTGGCGATGGCGGGTGCGATCTTCCACGTCAGCAGATACAACGGAAGATTCCAAGGGCTGATCAGACCAGCTACACAAACATTAATCAACATAATGGGGTGCTCAAACAACAAGCTTTTGTGTTATTAAAAAAATAGCTCTCTACAAGTAATGTGGTAGACGACATAAAATGCGTGCAGACAAACATGAAGACCAGCTTCACAACTACTGTGACTCAGTAAGCTGCTGTTCGTTGTGGTGGCAGCAAAGTACCACTTTCCTGACGAAAGAAAAATCTTGCCTCATATATTTACTTGGCACCAAGGTGCCACAAGATGGCGACAAAGCAATGCTTTAATATACATGTTTTTTTAATGACCGGTTGCAAAAAAATGGAAATAAATCAGCTAATAGGTCACTTTGCAGGAAACACTGTACTGTAAATGCTCTGAAAATTACTCGTACCCAAAATTTTGGTTTTCTCCCCCCCCCCCCACCCAAAAAAAGAAGAAAATCGCCCTCCCCACCACCACCCCAAAAATCAGCTTCTAACACAAACATCCTGAACGTTCTGGGCCCAGCAAGTCCTCAGGTGTATCTTACCAACTCCCACGGGGCAGCGCACAGTGTAGTTGAGGCAGCCCATGTGGTCCATCTGGCTGCAGTCGGTGGTGTGGTGGAGCACCGACGAAGCGAAGAAGCGGAAGTTGTACGCAGATCGGGGAATGTCCACGGTCCGCGCAAACGTCAGCGTCTTACCTGGGAAATGTTGCAGCAGCACCGGACGAAATGGGAAAGCACAAGGAAAAATGGATTCGAATGTACTCCAATCTCACTCAACATCAACTGAGGTGTACCACAAGGTTGCGTCCTTGGCACCTTCCTCGTCTGTCGTCATTTGAAGTCACTTTTTTTTCTTTGACATTGGTTACATTTTTGGGAAACACTGCTCTAACTCATTCTAGTTTGGCATATCAAGAAAACAATGTACCTTTCAGAACCACCCTCAAATCTGCTGGGGCGATGTTACAAAGACGCGCTCCCCTCACCTTGGTCTTTGGACTCAGCCAGCGCCAAGTCCTCCAGATGGGTATCGATCAGGTCGGCCATCTTGTTGAGGACTTGAGCCCTCTGCTCTGGACTTCGAGCGGCCCAGCCTGGGAAGGCCTCCTTGGCCGCAGCCACCGCCGCCTCCACCTGCAGAACACGTTTGTAAAAAGTGGCACTTGGGATGCTATCTGGCCCACACTCTCTATGGCCGTTTTCATCATAAGATGACACAACTTTGGTAGTCACTCATGAATGAAGACCTTTGAGATTGGGCCACTAATCTGTATCTTCTACTCTAAACCTGTGCTGATCTCAAATCCAAAATGATGCAATGCCGCCATGTCAGGATGATTTCAAGTCATAAATGAACCTGACATGCAAGTTTTGGGAATGTAGGTAGGAAGCCGGTGCACCTAATCTTGCAAATTTGGTTTCGGGGCATTTTACTTTGACGTTTCCATTGAAATTTTGGAGCCTGTGCTGCTGAATTGAGGGCAGGCGAGTATATCCGATATAGTGGCGATTTTAAGCCCGAAATATGAAGCCAAGAGTCTTTTAAGTCTGGACTCTTGCGCGCGCATGCTTTTAATGATTTACTCGCCTTTGGACTCTGCAAAGAGCAAAGGTTCTTGTCAATTTGGTGTCAGTCCCACATAGAGATTTTTCAATGAATGTGAAAGACTTTGGGAGTTCTGTTCAAGTCGGCGTCAAGGCCAAGCTCAAATGCGACAATTTGAAGAGAAAAGCAGAAAATGATGCAGACTGTAATAGGTTCATTGGATAACGGATCAACATTGTACCTCTCGCTCGCCGCTGTCGGGCACTTTGCAGTACACTTGCCCCGTGGACGGGTCATACGAGTCAATGTGACTCTGGCACGGGACAAACTTTCCTCCGATGAAGTTCTCCAGGACCAAAAAGGTGCTTGCCTCCATGCTTCTTTGCATTCCTGATGGGAAGTACAAAGAGAGACTGAAATTGAGAATTTAACCTGCCACCGATGCTAGTCGGACGACCCAGCACTCTCCACTTCTCAACTTCTGCTCTTGCACACGACAGGAAAACACAGATGTGCACAGGAAGCGTGCGCATGTTTGTGGGGGTGTGTGTGCGCGCGCGCGCATGGCCTTTTCATACCTTTGGTACCAAAATAAAGAAACTGCTGAGAATGATGTAAGGTATACCCCCACACCACCACAATTCATTATTGTTGCAAAAACTGATATTTTAAATAACAAGCATTAGGATTATGGGACACTTCACAATGAAATTGAATGTGGAAAAAAGACATTGAGGACAAACCAGGAAGTTGGAAAACAAAAGAAATTTCTTTCAGAAAATTAGGAAGTTGAAATGAGACTGAAAAACAGAAAAAAGGCATGACATTGAAAGACATGTTTTGTAAAAGACCTATTTTCAAATAGAATGTTTTCCAGTCTCTCTCTCTCTTTCTCTCTCTCTCTCTCTCTCTCTCTCTCTCTCTCTTCCAGTTACCTCAAAGACACCATGGAGACCGCCGTGCTGAGCCTCCAGAATTTGTATGAGAAGATGCGCTCGCAGGTTGAACTTCTCAGCGAGGGCGTAGAACCCAGTGAGTTGTACTTTTCTTCTTGAACTTCGCAGTCTATTACCATAGAAATCTGGCATGAGACAAAATTCAATGCAGCTTCCTTTATACAATTAATACAATACATGCTGATTTTTATAGCACTGTAAAAAAACTAATAATAAAACTGCAGTTGTAACATTTTAAGACCTGTAGCTAATTTCAGAGATAATGATAAATGTTATTTTTCCAATTAAAATACACAATAAAAGCTCCCTTCACATTGGTATTTGGCATACAGGAGGTCCAGAAATTTATTTCAACTTGTTGCACAGTCTACACGTTGTGAGAAGTTGTTCGTTGATGAGAGAGAAAGTACCTGTTTGAAGTCTCCGTTGACCACCATAAGGATGCCTGGATGCTGAAATTGTAATGTTGTGATGGTAGCTAGTATGATGTCACTCGCCATAGCAGCAAGCTTCACTTTGAATATAAACAAACATCTGCTGTTTGCCAACAGCTGGTAGCTCATTTGTTGGCAAGGGACATACAAGGAGAAGGAGTGATTCAGATCCCATGTCCTATTTAGTTCACGCTCTCCCTCCTTACTTTATTTCCACGCTTGTCCCACTTCACATCTGCTCAACTGGGTGCTTTGAAGTAGATGTCGACCGGCTCCATGTTATAGCGTCATAGACAAATAGTATTCTCTGCCTCAAAAATCACTGTTAAAACACATTAATAGTGCCAACGGTACAAATGGAGGAGAAAATTTGCAGAGCTGCTTTATCAAAGAATGTCACAGCTAAAGTGCTGTAAGTAATTCAAGGTTAGCATAATGCAAATTGCACACTAAATGGTGGGAAAGTCCAAATGAAGGAATAAACTTGGCAGCGCTTTATAACAGGCTGTTGACTCACAGCCACCTCTTTGACGTTCAAAGAAGATGTTTAAAAAAAAAAAAAACAACCCCTTTGTGTCTTGCCACCAGGCTTCATTCTCATGGCTCAGAACTTTGAAGACTGCCGACGCAAGTGGCTGGTGGCGGAGGAGAATCTCACCTCCTGCAAGGAGGTTCTCACCAAAACAGAGACTGAGAGGTCTTCTTTGGAGGTCAAACTGAAGCACGCCCGCAACCAAGTGGATGTGGAGATTCGGCGCAGGCAGAAGGCTGAGGCTGACTGCGATAAGCTGGTGTGTGTGTGTGGACTGTGGAGCGTTTGTTTGCAATGACCTGCTCTTTCTGTTTTATAGGTATACATACATTATTTTTTTCCTTTTCTTTTCTCAGTGTCTGCCCCCCTCCATGGATATAAACGGGTGGATCGGAATGCCGTGTTTAGACTCGTTGGGCCACCGAGAAGCTATTATTGTAAACAAACGTTTGAAATTGACTTAACACATCTCAATGTTAACAGCATGACTTCTGAACCTTTGTCTTATCTTTTGATCGGAAAGACAAATGTCTTCAATATACAGTTAAAAATAAAAAAATAAAAAATATTGGGTCATCCAAACCCCTCCGCTATGCTAAGGCAGGAGCCAATCCATGTTTGCAAAGTCTATTTTCTTTTGCTCTCAAGGGAACCCACCATGACTAATCTCGACACACACACTGGCATAATTAAGAGGCCAGATCATCGCTGCCGGTATTTGTGTCGCCCCGCTCTCTCCAAATGAGGCCCCGAGCTACAAGTGTCGCAAAGCAAAATATTTGCTGACGAGTTATCATAAGACAACACAGTAGTATCAACATTAACATTAAAAGGAACAACTCTGGCGTGACATGAAAGATATTATGAATCCATTCGATTTAGACTGTTACACATGTTGGCGCATTATCAGTGCACCGTAGTAAATTTTACTCACTGTTTACTCACTCGCTCCTGTGTTCACTTTTCCAACAAATAAGAGTTACCTTTCCTAGCGAAGTTCCAAAAAGTATTCGACATTTCGACTTATTGCTATCAATTTAAAAATGACCGTCTATTGAACCAATGTTCTTTCTTAATATATTTTGAAGAAGCTTATCGCTGACATGATCTTTTTGTTCGCGGCCCAACATATCCTTTCTCCAAAACGGTACTGCTTTTGATTGCGTTGCGTGAAAACAGCGGTGAAAAGATACACTGAATGTTTTGCTGGCTGTTTTTTTTTTTTTTTTTGGATGAGTATGATGCAAAACCCTTTTCAAACAAAACAAGTAAAAGCGATTTGGTGAGCATTTTTGTTTTATCTTCATCCCATCAAACTTCTTGAAAAGTAGTCTGTGGATCCAACTGAAGATGCGCGTGTTGGACAACACGACCAAACATTTCCTCCAAAATGCAATTGTTTCAATCCCGCCGACTCAAATTAAAGCTTGCCATTTCAGCTCAAGAAACAAACAAACAAAGAAAACGGTATAAATAATAAGCCGCGACATTGGTTTGTTCTGTTGCGGCTCCGCCTGCGAATGTTGTTCCATTTTCAACATTTGAACAAACCACCAATCAGAGGAGAATGCAGTGCCATTAACCACCGCGCATCTGACAGCAGTCTTTTGGGTTTGAAGATGGACGTCGCGGGGCGCCGCCAACTTGTTTAGGCCTGCAACCGTGCGATTGGTTGACAAGATTTGATCGGGCCGGTCGGATGAGGCCGGAGGGATGGAGGGAGGGCCGCCACACCCGCACGTGGTCTCCAAGGATGACGCCGATGGAAACGGCCTTCATTCTTTGATCTGGAGAGAAAAAGAAAAGAGTGATGAGCGGAATGAGGAAGTTTCACAGGATCTCTTTCAGGAGGCTGGTAGAGCTTTTGTTCACATTTGAAATGTCACCTAATTCACAATCTGTCCTGTGTAAATGTGTGATAAGTATGTATACACACACACACAGACAGCATATAAATGGTTCCGTAGCAAGAAAATACATTGAGCCACTAAACGGTTAAAACAAACAAAGAAAAAAAAAAATCTAAACGAACCTCCTACCTTTATGATTATGTGGGTTGATCAACATGGAGTTTGTGCATTATTTTGCAGTTCTTCAATAGCAGTGGCATTTGGTACCTGGGCCTGCAGCGGGAATCTCCTCCGACCTAACAACAATACATGTGGTGGTTCTACGTATACTGTACCTCGGTGACCACGCCTGCAGCGATGGTGGAGCCCACGTAGCGCAGCATGAAGCGACCCAGCTCTTTGAAGTCTTTGTAGAGCTCCAACGCCACCGGCCTCTGCGTCTGGATCTCCACGATGGCGTTCATGCCTTTCCCCAAGCACCTCCACGGCCAGCCACACGCACTCAAGTTAAACATGAGCGAGCCTCCGCATTCGTTACCCTTATGAGGCCTCTGTTGGTTTGCGCTCAACACTCACTTTGGTTTCTTCTTGAGGACCTCGCCGCTGCTCTTGTGCAAAATACTTAAGAGTTTGGTAATGGTGGCCGGCTCGCTCACGGTCCCGTAATGCAACAAGACCTGCGGGCACGCAAGTACAAATACAATCACGTAACACATCGACAACAAAGTCCGAATCTGGTTTGGGCTGCCGACACGGCGTGCGTCAGGCGGGACGTCTACAGCCGTGTCAGCTAAGTCAATCCGAGCTTCGGAGGTCTGTGAACACCCTGAAGTGGTCGCCAGCCTAGTTTGAGAACCCCCGTATTGAAATGGCGTGCTTACCGGGAAGCCTTTTGTGATGGGAATCTCAAAATTAAAGAGTAATAGTCGCGCCCTGAATCTTGTGCAGACTCGGATGGGCTCTTTGGGATCACAGAACACACAGCCCACACTGAAAAGAGGCAAAGAGGGAAAGACGTGATCAATCGCTACGTCTGCTAACTAATTTAAAAAAAAAAAGAAAAGAAAATGGAGTCTGCTTACTTGATCTTGATGATGTCCATGCCAGTTACCGTCAGGCTGACATGATCCCCGGCTGCAGCCCAGTCCAAAGGGGCGTCGTGCAGAGTGATTCCTGGCAGATGTTAGTCAGGCAGTGAGCACGCGATGGTGGTGTTGAGCCCCCAACCGACCAGAGTCATTCATTGCACTTGGAACAGCAAAAACTTCCAGGCTTTTTTTTTTTTTTTTTTGCTCCGCAAATGGACAAATACCTTTGACGAGACACGTCTCATTGGGGGGCATGGCCAGCAGTTTCTCTCCAGTCTGAATATAACCGGCCTCGATCTTGCCTGTGATGCAGAAGCCCGAGCCCTGGTCTGGACCCAGAATACGAGCAGTGACGTGAAATCAGAAAAGGCTTGGAGTGAGCGACAGCGCGCGCAATTCCGCGTTCATATACACACCCGCCCCCACACACAGTATGAGACTGCAACTTTACCTTTAAAGACATCAGACACGCACATTCGGAAAGGTTTGTCCACAGAGCGCTGAGGAGGCCTGAAGGCATCTTTGGTAGGAAAGGGAGACAAATTAGCTTGGCGGCTTGTAAAAAGTTACAATTTGATACATGTCGCAATTTCTGACCCTTGCCTGCATGAGCATCTTACACCATTTTTTTTATAAAGGTCATGCATGAGATTTTTTTGTTTTTTACCATGGGATGGTAACCACCCCCCAAAAAAGTTTAGCTAGTCTGGCAGGACGCCAGATTTGCATATGTACTCGTCTAGCCGAAAGTGAAAGAGCACGACTGCCGCTGGGGGGACTTTACAGGCTTTCACTTGACTTTCATTCCTTTTCTCGTGCATTACCAATCTGCTCCAGCAGGCTGAGACCGGAATACCAAGCGGTGAGCTCAGACACCAAACTCCGAGTGCTGAGGTTCTCTCCAGACAGGCCGCTGGTGGGGATGTAGAAAACGTCAGAGTCCTGGGGATGACGCAAATTCAGTGAAATCCCACTCATACACCTATTTCTTCAAACGTGAACACAGCACAGAATTGCCATTCAACCGACCTTGAAGCCTGCCTGCTTGAGGAAGTGGCCGAGTTTGGAGGTGATTTCCTGGAAGCGCTCCGGTTGCCAATTAACCTGCCAAACATGCACCGTTTTCACACAGTGAGCGCTCAGGACTGGCATCAACAACCAGCCGGTGCCGTTTGAGGAGTTGTCTCATGAAAGCACATCAACTTCTTTCATTCACATGTGAATGAAGAGTCACCGTTCGGCGACGGCATTCTGACCTGGTCCATCTTGTTGACCGCCACCACCAGCTGAGTGACGCCCAGCGAACGCACCAACAGGCCGTGTTCCCTGGTCTGGCCGCCCGCCTCAAAGCCCGCCTCGAACCCCCCTCGACTGGCGTCCACCACCAGCACGGCCACGTCCGCCTGAGGAGAGGAACCGCACGCGCGCAGGAAGATGCGCGCAGGAGAGTGAGCCTACTTTTTGAGGGTTGTGGAGAAAAAAAAAAAAAAAGGTTGTGTCCAATCCACGTTATGAAAACAGTGACAGGGCTTTTAGCGTGAGGACAGTCATATGGTAAAAAGAGAAATGACATCGGATGCCGTCGAGCGCACCTTGAATGAGCAACACCCAAAACCACAACGTCAGGCTCGCCAGTACGTGGCCAGAAAGGCGCAAGGAGGCGACGGAGATATTTGAGTCGTACACCACGAGTTTCGTTTCAAAACGAAGTGCCAGGAGGGAGGAGGTGTTACCTGCGCCGCTCCGGTGATCATGTTGGGGATGAAGTCTTTGTGCCCGGGCGCGTCCATCAGCGTCACCACCTTTGACTCGGTCTCAAATTTAGTCATGCCGACATCCATCGTCACACCCCTGCGGTCAAAGAGAGATCAATGAAAACCCAATTAAAATTGATTAAAGGGAAAAATACAAACAAATATAAAGATGAATGCATTCAAATAATTTCATGAACTGGGGTGGCTTAAATCACAGATTAAACTCTTAACTCCCCGCTGTGTGTAGGCGAGGCAGCGTACCTGTCGCGTTCCTCGCCAGTTTCATCCAGCACCCAGGCGTAGGCGAACGAAGCCTTGCCCGCCTTCTTGGACTCGGTTTCGTACTTGTGCATGGTGCGCTTGTTGACGTTGCCCAGCAGATAGAGCAGGTGGCCCATCAGCGTGCTCTTCCCTGCATCAACATGACCTGAATACGCGGGATAAGAAAGACAAGACGTGAAGTTTAAGAGTCTGCGTGTGTGTGTGTGTGTGTGTGTGTGTGTGTGTGTGTGTGGGGGGGACAACACTGAAGCGAAACTTGACAAAAGATGGGAGAGGAAGACTGCAACGGGAGTGATAAAGCAGGTAGGGTGCCGCAGGGGATGATAAGGGATGGGCGAAAAGGAAGCTGGAGATACTAAGATGCTTGCAGGTTTCACACTGCGGGAAACTGTACTTGTGAAACAAGTAGTGTTAGAAAGCCTTGGGATTTTCCATGACAGTTAATTTCCTTTTGAATTTTCTTGTTTATAAATTGCATTTTGATCATTTGTCGAGCACATTTGTTTGGGTCGTTATTATATGTTTGAGTATTTCTTTTCAAATATGCAGAGTATTTGTGTCTCAGTCAACTAAATGCCCTGTTGTTTAAATTGACCCCCCGCATGATATGAACTGACAAAGATGACACCAGGGGACATATGTTCGAGAATTATCGTGAGCTTTGACAATGCTAGATGTTTTTCAGAAAACGTTTTTCCAATTTGAGTTGTTTCATTGCTTTTGGTTAACTGCAATATCCTTGGAAACTACCGGGTCACTTTTTTTTTTTTAGGAGCTAAATGCGAGGAGAGTGGTTTTGAACGAAAGAACACTCAAAAAATTGCTGCCGGAGTATGGCGGGCTGGTTAACGACATATTGGTTTTCACTGATCATACGACACGGTGGCGTTATCCGTTGCTTTTGCTCTCTCTGCAGTCGGTGGACGAGTCCCAAAAGTGGGCCAAGTCCCACGACACTCAAAAGAAAAATCCCCATTTGCGCTCACCGATCACCACTAAATTCAGCAGAGATTTGCCCCCTTGTCTCTTCTCCAGTTCAGCCTTCACATCCATGGTCTGCCGGGCCTTTCCGGCAGCGCGCCCGGGAGCGGGAACGCCGGCCAGCTCGTCCTCGTTCGAACCTCGGGAAGGTGTCTCGGGTCGTTTGGGTGCGGCCTCGCCGGCGGCGGGTGTTGCCGTGGTGTTTTCGGGGCTGTTGACCCGCCGCCCCGCAGCGGCGATGACGCCGTTGTCGCCGCTGCTGAGGAGAGGAAAAACAAGTCACGGTGAAGCGAGCGCAAACCAGCAGCTGTGCGCCGATGTTGATGCGAGTGTGCGCGTTGGGCACCTGGGAACGTCAAAGCCCATGGTCTGCTTCTTGCCCGAGACGGTCATGCGGGCCACTTTGGGTACGACTTCACAGTCCAGTTTATTATTTGAGACGTCTCTGCTTTTAGCTAGGAGGAAGACAACAAGGGTTAACGTAGACACTCGTGCGAGTGCTCCTCTGATACTATGTTCAAATCGGTTTTGTGTTCACCGCCAAATAAAACCCCGCTGTAAAGTGGAGTGTGCTTTTCTCATGTCAAAAATATGATCCATTTGCACTGAAATGCAAAAGAAATGTTGTTGGCCTCAGTGATCATTTCTGTGTACTCTGTTGTCCATCTGAGAAAAAAACGTGAATAATTTATTGACTTGAAGTTTTGTTGCCCCCC